TTTTTTTTTTTTTTTTTTTTAATGAATTCAATATGATATTTATACAACAAATAATTATACAATAATTAACAACACTTGTTGTACAAGTAAATTTTAAATACATAACAAACCTTGATCGTAAATTCGTTAAACTATCAGGTTCTGCATAAATTACTTCTCTGTGATGATGGTACTGTTCCACATGCTTCTTTGTGTATTGAACCTTGGCTTTATCCGGTTTCGGTATATGTGATCCATAAAATTCATTGAGCTATAAAGAAAACAATAGCAAATAGAATATAAATTATAAATAACATTGCAATGAAAATGAATTTCAAGTAAGTAATAAATTCATGTTCAAAATAGAATAAATAAATAAATAAATAAAGATATACGTCATTTTATTACGTTTGTTCCCTAACGGCAAAGCTACAGTAATTTTCATGCAAGTCTCGATCATTACTGTATGTAACTTATGTATGTATGACAATTGTGCTGTAACTGTAATATATGTACTACATGTTCTGGCCAGATACAAACAAGTCGATTACTCTGTTGTACTTACGGTTGAATTCTTTGTTTTTGTTTCCTTCTCTTTTTCAATATTTGTTGTTGTTTCACACGTATCATTCTCAGGCGGAGTACACAAAAATTGATTAGAATTGTCTGTGTTTGAATGGATGGAGCGTCGGGACATATTGGGCATTGCCAGTATACCTGGTGCTATTTCGTAACGACATTTGGACTTTTCTGAATAGGTGTAGTCCGTTTTAGGAAATACACTGACAAAAGATAAAAAAGATTTTGACATATAACGATGTAACAAAGTTTACTGCAATAGAAAATAACGTAAAGATAAACAGCACGATTCATAGATCGTATTGAACAAGGGAAATGTGACTCTTTCAAAATGCACTACTGTCCTTTCTATTTGTTTTGTAACATTAATTGGCTCGGATATCGAAGGTCACGAACCAAGTAAAGAAAACGATATTTAGTTCAAGTAAGAAATTAGTAGAATTCAAGTTAGTTCGATGAATACATGTAAACAATAATATAAAATTATGATTTGGATAGCACAAGTACGTACTCCCACCAATCACCAGCTTGTTTATAGATTTCATGTGCAGAACATGGTTTGTGCGATGTATCTTCTTGTTCTGTTTCCTCTGAAGAATAGTTGCTAGTGAAAGTCCTATGTAGGAAGATACTTTTATCGCCTTTTTCGCTTTTATGTGTAAGCGAATCTTCTTTGTTGTCGGTTTGACCATTTGCAAATATTTTCTTTTTTGCTTTTTGCCGTTCGGATCGACGTTCTCCTTTCTTTGTGTAGAACGAAGAGTTTTCAACGTGCTTACTTTTATTTCCCAACGTTGTATCGACCGTAACAATTTCTTTTTTTGTTTCTGTTATAGTCCCCACATTTTGGTCGTTTGTTTTACTGCCACTACCAGATCTACAGCAATGTTGAAATTAAAATTAATATTAACTATAGGTTTATATTTAACTATAATTTATATTTAAATAACCATCCATCCATGATCAAAAGCTGAAGCTTTTATTACGTACAATATTCTACCAGATCTTTTAACATTTGCAATTTCTCCAGGAGTACGAGATCTCTCCCGACTTAGATTTCTCAAGTGATAATGATGCTCTAAAGTTTCTGGCTCGATCGTGGTTGTACTACTTTGTACCAAAGGAGTTCTGGAGCGTGATCTACTTCCACTTCGTAATTCATAATGCCGTTGTTCATTCTCCATAGTCTTGCTAAAAGTAAAAGCAATCCATTTCAGAACATTGATGAAACGACTTACTATTTATCAGAAACAGATGCAGGAACCCAGAGACTACAATCCACTATATAGTGTGCGTCGTACGAGCTAAAAATAGTTCCCCTCCTGCTGAAGGATTTTTTAAACGTACATGATCCTTTTCTCTTAGCCGTTATTCCAAGCACATCTTTTTTCTATCTTTTTATTACTCCCGTTCTGTTTCTTTTTCGGATGAATTTTGTTTAACGCGATACCTACACATGTCGCACGCTGTGATGTACGTGTCCAATCAAAAAATATATCTATATACTCGTTTTCTTATCCTTTAGTTGCCAAATAGAAATGTTCAATGCAAAGAAAATACGTATAAATGACCTAAGATCTAATCTCATTTACACACACACACACACACACACACACACACACATCTTGATAATCATTTCATTCGTATATATTACGCACACAAAATATGTATGTCAGAATTAATCTGAGTAACACTTTTTTGCAACACTAAACACCACGTATTTTTGAAACAGATTTTCAGATGGCTATTTTTTGAAACGATGGGTAGATACATTAAATACATACGCACGCACGTAAATTCCAAAATTTAATCTCTAGGTTCCTCGAGATATGTACTAGATTTCTCGCGACAATCCTTCTATTTATAGAAGACTCACCGAAAATATATAAAAGAAATTTACGATTCTTCCGAAATGATTCGATATGTCGTGCATTCGAAAACATACGAAATGTATACGTTTTACGATGCAAGTTGAATAAGACGATGGTTTTCGTTGTAACTTTAAACGTCTGTCAACATTTCCGTTTCTTCGACGTCTAACACGAGCTCGCAACTCGCAACGCGTAGAGACGACGAACAGCCGTACTTACTCTGCGCGCGCATCGACGATGATTCATTCCACGTTACTCTCCCTACTTTGACGTATGTATGTACATAGTTCTCAAAAAGTTACCGAATAGAATCAAATTATGATCGTTGACTCGAAACGTCATCGATGAACCAATCATCGTTAACAGTGTTTATTGTGATGAATCGAGATGACGTAGCTTGCGAACGAGGCAATGCACCGGAACTTTAACCAATTAAGTGTTTATTTTCCTCGCACGTTCCAGGCGCTTCCGCAGTGAGACGTGCAAATGCTCCAAGGCATTTAAAACTAATATCTAGAAACACTCTTAAGAATATCTCATGTAAATAGACTTAAACGTTGCAACTGTAAATACAAACACCGTACTGATGCGAAAAGTACAGCGATAAGCGCGCCTATCGCGTGACGTGTGATCACTAGTTGAAAACAAGTAATGAAAAACAGACATGCAATTTCGTAAATAATGAGAGAGGAAAAGTCTAATTTCAGTCAGTCTAATTAAACCAATTATGTAATTTAAGTTTAACTACGTGCTTAAATGAACGATTTTGATTCAAATTTCAAATGTTGTGAAAAGCAGCGACAACTCCGATCTATTGAATAGCATTTCGTCAATCATCAGTCACTCGTTTCGAAGATCAAATGCAATCTGTAAAAGAAGTTAAGAATCAAATTCTAGAAACACGATTAAAAAAGTTTACAAAATAATCATCTACGTTAGTTTTTTTTCGCAAATCAAAACTTCCTCGATTCATGAACACTAAACACTAGCTCCGAGTAGTGGCGAAAATTAGTCTGTTTATGAGAAAATTCAATTTATCAATTTATGAATTGAATTCTGCGCAGAAATTGAGTGAAAGATGTTACTCTGAGAAATTGAGTTTTTTATGTAAATGATTAATTAATTATACGCGATTAGACAAGGTTTTTTTTGCAAATGAAAATTTGCAAAATTTATTCTACTTTATTCTACTTGGGACATCGAAATACTAGCGCCGCGTAGCGGTGAAATTAATTTTTATCTCTATTCTTGTCTAAATAGTGCTGCCACCTATCATCAGGTCCGGCAAAAACTATTTAAACGAGAAACGCATTAGCGTTAGACAAGGACAGACTTATGCAACATGATAGACAAGAAGAGCACTAATGTGCGACAAGGACAGCAATAGATTTTAATTCCACTATTCACCGTCACGCGACGCTAATATTCACGACTAAATCTTCATTTGCAAACAAAAAAAGGCAGATTAGTAGAAAACTAATTTGGAAACCTTTACAGTCGCAGTTCCGTTTTTAGAACCTTAGCTTTATTTCTGCATTTTCTTTGACATGTAAAACCCTTGTATAAAGATTTGAAACTTCTATTCAATAGTGCGAAATATTCCGTTGGTTGGACAAGAAACGCAACACTGTGCAACAAAGATAGAGATAAAGATTAGTTTCAACATTTCACCGCTATGCGACGCTAGTATTTCGATGTCCAAATTTTCATTTGCAAAGAAAAGAAAGCTAATTCTTAAATAAGAGGTTTGACTATAAACTTTTGCGATCGTTTCTGCAAAATTAAACTCTCAGCTTTGATTAAATTGGTTCCGTAAAATACCCGAACAAACTTTTTTTTTTTTAATTTTTCATTAGTACCTATGATTGTCGATAGATGGACCACTATGCCCGAGCCAACAACAATTTGTACCAATCGCATGAAATTAATTAATTACATAAAAAATTGAATTCCTCGGAGAAAAATCTTTAATTTAATTTTTGAGTAATAGAAAATGGGCTCGTAAACTGGTAAATTTGATTTTTTCCTATTTTCTTGTAGAGAGATTAATTTTATCCGTTCACCGCTAGTACGGAACTACTGTTTCAGTTTCCATGAAGCGGCCAAGTTGTGGTTTGCAAAGAAAGGTAACAAATGTATCAATTTATAAACTCTAGCGATTATATTTTTTGCAAATTAAAATACTATTGTGCAATGTATCTTGTAGTATGATACTTTTCCGTACCTGTTTGGTATAGTGCCATAGACTATTTTAACTATTAGATACAATAACCCATGATGCACAGTGCGGCAACACTGTTTTTATAAGCTACAAGCTACTTTAATGTTGCAATTCAGTGGAGTATATACTTTTGCTGTTAAAATTTCTCCAATATATATTTCTAATTCTTTTTAGATAATTATATCTAGACAGTATATGAATATGATGATTGTGTATTGAATAGATGCACCGAGATGTATAAATGATAAAAGAGTTTACGCGTTCTCTAATTTGAAGTATTTATAGCGATTTTGAACGAACATTGCTTCTGAATGTAATCAATTTTTGAAACGAAAACGCATACATATTGATAAAAGTGAGATTACTAAGTAGAAGAGGTCAAGTGCAAAGTGTATATTCTGAGTACATGTATAATTCTATATAATTATAAGAAAAATTCATATATAATTCATAAGAAGAGTTACAGTTGGAGACAACTTTTAAAATACAGTATTATAATTTTTGTAGATGAAAATATAAATTTTCGCATTTGTATTTAAAAAGGTGTGCTACATTTTCTTATCCACGGAGTAAACAAACTGTGATTCATTACCATCTTAAATATCGACATTATTGTGATATTATACGGATGCAATACAGATGCATCCAAAAATATGGTAATTATCATTAGTGAAGAAAGATGGAGAAATCATAATCATTTGATCGTAATTATTTTAAAACGTTTTGATTAAAATTTTCCTTGAAGCTGAGAACAGTAACGCCGCGACACTGTTAATTTAGTAAAAATCCAAATATAAAAAGAACACTATACTGCTGTATGTTATTACTGCAAAAAGTAAAATAAAATGTACGAAGTGTGGTATATGAGACTTTTGACTTTGAACTGTATCGAACGTTGATGTTGC